GTCACTATGGCGGTGTGTCCACTCACAGGATGAGTGGCGCTGCCCAATACTGTCACTATGGCGGTGTGTCCACTCACAGGATGAGTGACGCTGCCCAATAAACTCCCCCCCCCCCTCGGGGCAAAATTGTAAAATTAACCATTCCACCAAACAAACAAACAAAGCCACTGTTAATAAGCTTAATGCTTTGGCCTAACAAGGACAGGCAAATAATAGCCTCCCCCCCCCTCCCACCTCCCCCCCCCTCCCACCTCCCCCCCCCCTCCCACCTCCCCCCCATTTTCTTCCTCATAATTTATGTCCCCTTTTTTAATTAGAATATTGTCCTTTCCAGCCATATAATTCCCCGCCCCTTCCCATCATAATTATACCGGCTGTCGAGTAATTAACAGCGGGAGAGGGGGGAGAGGGGAGAGGGGGGGGGATAGGGTGTGTGGGGGGAGGTAGAAATGGGTAGATGGGTTGGGGGAGAAAAGGGGAAGGGGGAGGAATGGGGTGATGTTAGCTCTCTCTCTCTCTCTTTCCTGCCCCTACCTCCCCAAACTTTCTGGTTCGTCCCTACCCCTCCTCCTCCCTTACTTCTATGGTATCTACCATATGGTATGGTATCTACCTTTTATATATGATATCTACCATTCATACAGGTTGTTGTTGTTGTTGTTCTAGATTCAGCTACTCTGAACAAGTTCCAAGTAGCACGGGCTATGGTGAGCCCGTAACTTAGCTGGCACAGGAGCGGGGCGCATTCATACATGGCATGGTGGCTAGGTATGAGGACAAGACACGAGAGTATGGTGTCCATGGCTCATCTTGGGTCTTGGTGATGCTGGCTATAGAATATAGCTGTCTTCACTGGTATGACACAAGGGGAAGGCAGAAACAAGGGCTTACACACACGGATCTTGACAAGGGCTAAGCCTGAGTCACTACTCTTACGCTAAAATAAAATTTTCTAGCATCTCTATGACAGATCTGAGTCTCAAGGTTCCATCTGTGGCGTCCCCTTGTTCTGTTGGTATTTAGTTTAAACATTACCTCGGTTTCCATTCTGTCAATCCCTCTGAGTATTTTGTATGTCTGTATCATGTCCACCCTTCTCCCTCCTCGTTTCTAACGTTGTCAGGTTTAGTGGTTTAGACTCCATACACACACTTGAAACTGTGTATGGAGTCAGCCTCCACCACATCACTGCCTAATGCATTCAACTTGCTATGTGTGTGTATGTGTGGGTGTGTGTATGTGTGTGTGTGTGTGTGTGTGGGTGTATGTGTTTGTGGGTGTGTGTATGTGTGTGTGTGTGTGTGTGTGTGTGTGTGTGTGTGTGTGTGTGTGTGTGTGTGTGTGTGTGTGTGTGTGTGTGTGTGTGTGTGTGTGTGTGTGTTTGTGGGTGTGTGTATGTATATGTGTGCGTGTGTATTTATTATTTGTGCCTGCAGGATCGAGCTTTTAGCTCTTGGACCGCGCCTTTCTAGCTGCTGGCTGTCTAATTTACCGACTCCCAATCTATAGTTCCTCCATAATATGTTTCTCACACACATCCCCAAGATACAGCCAGTGGCAGCTGTTTAACTCCCTGGTACCTATTTACTGCCAGGTGATCAGGCGCATCACACGAAAGAAACTGCCCATTTGTTTCCGCCTCGAGCGGGAATGGAACCCGGGTCCTCAGGACTGCTACCCCAGCCTCACCTCTTTCTTTTCTATCTCCCCTCTTCACCCTAACACATCCCTCCCCCCCTCTACTCCTCCCTTCTCACCTCTAATAATTACATCTTTACAAAGCACAAATACATTTTAAACCGCAGTTCGAATCCCTCGAGGGTCCTAAACCTCCTTTCCCTTACCTACCCTCTTCCTTCCCCTCCCTTTCCTGCGATGGCGGCCCATTATCTCCCCATATTCCTCCCCTCCCTCCCCCCCCCATCAAGGTAAGCCTACCCATAGGACAAGATGCTTCCCTCACCCCTACGTAGATAAATCTACCTATGATGACCCCTTCCCCCACACTTGTCCCCCTCACTGTTCTTCTGGGGGCCCCTATCTACTCCCCCCCAACCCCCCTACTTCTACCACCTCCACAACCCTGCATATTGTTGTGGTGGTAGATGTTGTATTTATTGTAGTTGTGATTTATTGATGTTACTGGAGCTTTTGTCGCTGTTGTAGTTAGTTCAGCTACTGTAGTTGTAGTTATTGTGGCTATTCTAGTTAATACAGCTACTGTAGTTGTAGTAATCGTGGCTGTTGTAGTTAATACATCTACTGTAGTTGTAGTAATCGTGGCTGTTGTAGTTAATACAGCTACTGTAGTTGTAGTAATCGTGGCTGTTGTAGTTAATACATCTACTGTAGTTGTAGTAATCGTGGCTGTTGTAGTTAATACAGCTACTGTAGTTGTAGTTCTCGTGGCGGTTGTAGTTAATACAGCTACCGTAGTTGTAGTTCTCGTGGCGGTTGTAGTTAATACAGCTACCGTGTTAACTGCTGTAGTAGATGTTGTATTGGCTGCTGTAGTTTCAGACAGCAGGTCACAATAACGGGGCTGAACGCTACACATCCCAACCCTCGCGTCTGAAACTGAAGTGACAATTTTTCAACCTCTTTTGGACCATTACCAAGGAATGAGACAACGTTTCGACCTCTTTTGGACCATTACCAAGGAATGAGACAACGTTTCGACCTCTTTTGGACCATTACCAAGGGAATGAGACAACGTTTCGACCTCTTTTGGACCATTGCCAAGGGGATGAGACAAAGTTTCGACCTCTTTTGGGCCATTACCAAGGAATGAGACAACGTTTCGACCTCTTTTGGGCCATTACCAAGGAATGAGACAACGTTTCGACCTCTTTTGGACCATTACCAAGGAATGAGACAACGTTTCGACCTCTTTTGGACCATTATCAAGGGGATGAGACAACGTTTCGACCTCTTTTGGACCATTATCAAGAGGATGAGACAACGTTTCGGCCTCTTTTGGACCATTATCAAGGGGATGAGACAACGTTTCGGTCTCTTTTGGACTATTATCAAAGGATGAGGCAACGTTTCGGCCTCTTTTGGACCATTATTAAGAGGATGAGACAACGTTTCGGCCTCTTTTGGACCATTATTAAGAGGATGAGACAACGTTTCGACCTCTTTTGGACCATTATCAAGAGGATGAAACAACGTTTCGGTCTCTTTTGGACCATTACCAAGGGATGAAACAACGTTTCGGCCTCTTTTGGACCATTATTAAGGGGATGAGACAACGTTTCGACCTCTTTTGGACCATCACCAAGGGGATGAGACAACGTTTCGACCTCTTTTGGACCATTATCAAGAGGATGAGACAACGTTTCGGTCTCTTTTGGACCATTATCAAGGGGATGAGACAACGTTTCGGTCTCTTTTGGACCATTATCAAGAGGATGAGACAACGTTTCGGCCTCTTTTGGACCATAACCAAGGGATGAAACAACATTTCGGTCTCTCCCGGACCATCTTTAAGGAACGACGTTTCGCTCGTTCTTCTTCGTTATTCTCCTTCCTTTAAACCCCCCCCCCTTCCCCCCTTGTCTTAATCCTTCCTCCTCCTGCCTCTACCCATTCCATCCCCCTTCCCTCCCTCCCTCCCTCCCACGCCCCTCTCCTTCCTCTTCCCTAAGGGCTTGTCAACGGGACAGGAAAAGCAACAGGACCTCGGCGACATCTGCAACGAGCAACGGCCGTTGGGGCGTGTTGGGCCTGCAGGCTCCAACGGAGGGGGGGGGGGCCGGGGGGGGGGGGGGGGGGGGGGGGGGGGGGGGGGTGGGGGGTCGAGTAGGGGGGGTCGTTGGGGCTACTATTGTCGTGGTATGGGGACGAGTCTTCCCTTCTGGCAGGGTCAGATGCTAGTTCTTGGGACCCGCCTTTCCAAACGTCGGTTGTCTAATGTACTTGGGGCCCAAATTCACGAAGCAGTTACGCAAGCACTTACGAACCTGGGGGGCCAGATTCACGAAGCCGTTACGCAAGCACTTACGAACCTGGGGGGCCAGATTCACGAAGCAGTTACGCAAGCACTTACGAACCTGTCCATCTTTTTCTCAATCTTTGGCGGCTTTGTTTACAATTATTAAACAGTTAATGAGCTCCGAAGCACCAGGAGGCTGTTTATAACAATAACAACAGTTGATTGGCAAGTTTTCATGCTTGTAAACTGTTTAATAAATGTAACCAAAGCCGTCAAAGATTGAGGGAAAGATGTACACGTTCGTAAGTGCTTGCGTAACTGCTTCGTGAATCTGGGCCCTGATTCCCAACTTATTTTTCTCTATCATATCTATCTCTATCTAACTCCTAAGTACCATTTTACCGCTAAATGAACAGAAGCATCAGATGACCTTCCAAAGAAATAACTCTACCCATTTTTGTCTTGGCTGGGGATTCGAACCCTGATCCGTGGGTGTGTGAGGGCGGTTTGATGACGCCACATCCCCCTTGAACACAAATAGCATACTGCTCTCTACCTGTAATTCCCCATTAGTCCTTTCCTCCTGCATCGCTGCGCCCATTAAGACTAACATTATGTAATGGTAAAGACTATTATTTGTCAATAATACACTCTGTGTGTCTCTCTTGCACGGAGGTGTCTTAGACTCACGACCTCAGACGCCACTTATAATATCTCGGAGTCTCCTTTTAAGAGAATTTACACTTATCGTAAAGTACTTATGATTCATCTTAGGATATAAGTTTGTTTTAAGATATCTCAGACTCATCTTAAGACATAGACTGATCTTAAGATAAGTCAGACTCTACCCCCTTATTTTTATTTTTGTTTTTCTTGTCTTCTTTCTACCTCTTTCCTCTTTTTCACAACTTTATAATTTCTTTTTCTCTATTCATTTCTAAAATATATTCTTTCAACGTTCCTTTCCTCCTATATCCCTCCATTTCTATCCTTCTATTCTTCTATCCTCAGGATGTTATCTGTCCCGCCCTATTCCCTCCTGTGTTCCGACTCGTGTACTGACCTGTGCCTCCGCTTCTTCTTCTTCTTCTTTCCCAAACTGAGGTTCTGGCCGTCGTATGTTTTGCTCATGGAATCGGACGAGTCCAGACCTGCAAATGTAAACAAAAGAGAATTTAGTTATTACCGAGCGGTTAAAGTGCTGGTACTTCATACCTGTGACGCACGCACACACGCACACACACACACATGCACACGCACGCACACGCACACACGCAAAGGAGGTAAGAAAAGGGTGATATAAAGCCATGCTTTACGCCTGTGAGTCTCAGCACTTGACTGAGTTTGAGAGAGTTAGACGGCCATGTTGCCCGCTTTTCACTTATGATTGAATCTGGTCAGAACGACCTACTCGGTAGTACGACCTCGCGTCCTGTGGGCGAGTGGTCGTCATGGGTACAGGTGTGGGCGTTGTGGGAGGGTAGGTGTGGGCGTAGGTGTGGGTAGGAGAAGAAATATGAGTGTGCAGATGTGTGTGTGTGTATGTGATGACTGAGGGTGATGTTGTGGAGGAGGGTGGGGGTGCTGGTTGATGTTGGAGAGGGGGGGGGGGAGCGATGTGGACAAGACACGTGGATACATGTGTTCGGACACAGGATCATAACATGTGTGGACACGTACCAACAGCTGAATCTGAAACCTCAGTCGCGATAAATTTCTGACGTTACCTTGAGGTTACCTTGAGGTGCTTCCGGGGCTTAGCGTCCCCGCGGCCCGGTCGTCGATCAGGCCTCCTACGTCCCCACAGCTTTTGCACATCACATAAAACAGAAACGTTTGTCCCTTATTTAGGTTAGGATAGAATAGATTAGGATAGGATACGATAGGATACGTAAGGATAAGATAGGACAGGTTAGGATTGGTTAGAAAACGTTAGGTTAGGATACGTAAGTATAGGATAGCACAGGTTAGGATAGGTTAGGAAACGTTAGGTTAGGATACGTAAGTATAGGATAGCACAGGTTAGGATTGGTTAGAAAACGTTAGGTTAGGATACGTAAGGATAGGATAGAACAGGTTAGGATAGGTTAGGAAACGTAAGTATAGGATAGCACAGGTTAGGATAGGTTAGGAAACGTTAGGTTAGGATACGTAATGATAGGATAGAACAGGTTAGGATAGGTTAGGAAACGTTAGGTTAGGATACGTAAGGATATGATAGCACAGATTAGGGTAGATTAGAAACCGTTAGGTTAGGATAGTTCAGGACAGGTTAGGATAGATAAGGGTGGGATAGATTAAGTTAGATTACGATAGGTTAGGTTAGACTGGATTAGACTATCCTCATATCCCATTTCCCAAAATAGTGGTACAGTCAGACGCCAGGCCTTTAAAACATGAATACAACATGTTAGCAAGAGAAAGAGATATGGCAGGAAGTGCAACAAAAATATCCCATTCAAAGTCGGGTCGCCAGCAACATCATAAGACATTAGAAGCATCAAACATATAAAAATTCCGTTGGAATGAAGGCTTCCGAGAGAAAATTAGAATAGTTCCTGCTGGAGTCTGTGGATCAGCCAGGTTGTGATGGCTACGTGGACATCCAGGAAGCGAAGACGAACAGTCTTATGGAACAAACATTGACCGGGAAATAAGCCTTCTACCGTATTTCTACCGTACACAAGAACAGTGAAAGAGGGACAGGAAAGAAAACGGGCGCCGGTCAAGTTGACGAAAGAAATAACATTCCCACTGGAAACAGGAGAAGGCGGGAAAGAGAGGGCGAAAGAGAGGGGGAAAAAGAGAGGAAGGGGTGGGTGGTGGGTAGCGTAGCAGCAGCAGCAGCACCAGCAGCAACACCAGCAGCAGCAGCAGCACCAGCAGCAACACCAGCAGCAGCAGCAGCAGCAGCAGCAGCAGCATCAGCAACAACAGCAGCAGCAGCAGCAGCGACAGCAACAGCAGCAGCAGCAGCAGCGACAGCAACAGCAGCAACAGCAGCAGCAGCAGCAGCAGCAGCGGCAGCAGCAGCAGCTGTAGCGACAATGGGTTAAGGCGCAGGCAAGAGGTTATGACCAAACTGTCTCTCTTCCAGGTCCTTCTCCGCCTCTCGTGGCCGACCTTCCCGCCAGAATATGGCCGCCCGCGGCTCCCTTGGGGCGTCTGGCTGATGGCCGCCTCGCACGCTTTGTGGGGCAGTTGGTGTTTGGGAATGTACTTTGGGGCCCCATTTGTACTGTAAAAGTTTAAACTACATTTTGGTGCGATGGTATAAGGGGGGGGAAGTGGAGTGGAAAGGGTTGTGGGGGGGGCAGGAGGAATGAGAGAGGAGGGGGTAGACAGGTGGGTCAGGGGGATTTGGTAGGGGACATAGTGGAAGGGGAGGATTGGGGGGGGGGGATAGATGGGAGGGGAGGGAGAAGACGAAGTTTATAAGCATATGAGTACAAACAGAGTACAGTGCAAGGGGGGGGGGTGAGGGGGGGGGAGGGTTACAGTGCAAAGGTGAGGTATAGTGTAAGTGTAGAGGATATGCAACATTCCTCTTGAGGCCAGGTAAGCATATCCGTGGTCTAGCGGCACTGTATCTCCTCCCCAGGCACTGTGCTACCTCCCCCAGGCACTGTGCTACCTCCCCCAGGCACTGTGTCTCCTCCCCCAGGCACTGTGCTACCTCCCCCAGGCACTGTGTCTCCTCCCCCAGGCACTGTGCTACCTCCCCCAGGCACTGTGTCTCCTCCCCCAGGCACTGTGCTACCTCCCCCAGGCACTGTGCTACCTCCCCCAGGCACTGTGCTACCTCCCCCAGGCACTGTGTCTCCTCCCCCAGGCACTGTGCTACCTCCCCCAGGTACTGTGTCTCCTCCCCCAGGCACTGTGCTACCTCCCCCAGGCACTGTGTCTCCTCCCCCAGGCACTGTGCTACCTCCCCCAGGCACTGTGCTACCTCCCCCAGGCACTGTGCTACCTCCCCCAGGCACTGTGCTACCTCCCCCAGGCACTGTGCTACCTCCCCCAGGCACTGTGCTACCTCCCCCAGGCACTGTGCTACCTCTCCCTCTCTCTCCAGACGGAAAAAGAAAACATAGAAGAGGAGAATAAAGAGGGCGAGGACCATAAAGGTAAGAGAGAGAGAGAGAGAGAGAGAAGGTGTTGTGAACCTCGATCTCTCACCAGCATCTCTCACGGCTGCTCTCCCTCCTCTCCTTCCATCTCTCCCACACGTGTATGAGAAAGAGGAAGATACACAAACAGCTGGAAACCCTCTCAGACGAAACAAGGTGTGAATGCTGTCTCAAAACACATCCGTATCCCTCATCCTATTTACCCTAACGAGGATAAAAAATAAATATGTAGCAGAGTGAGAGGAGGATAAGAAGATGCGGAAGAAGCAGGCAGAAAAGGGAGAAGGATAAAAAGAGAGGAGTAAGAATGATCGCAGGAGACCGTGGTCTTCAAGGAGGCCGGGAGCATCAGGTCCTCCTCATAAGAGGCTCCCAAAGGTGCCACACCTCAGGTAGCCTGAACCACGTTACACCCTGAGTGTCTGGGCCCCCGGGGGCCCCCCCAAGAACACCATACCCGGACCCCGAGATGTAAAATGCATTGCCCACGGCCCCCGGGGACCAATCCTAAGCCCTAATCACACTTTCACGCCCTCTTCTCCCGCGTGAGTCAATTGAGGGAGATTCGTAGCGCGCCGGGCCAGCCACAGGGGAGTCGAACCCCGGCGAGGAAGGAGAGTGTTGGCACGGCAGAATGGAGGACTAGGGAGGGAGGGAGAACGATTCTGGAAAGGGAGAATGGGATGGAAGAGAGAGAGACAGAGAAGGAAGGAAAGGATCTATCAGGAGAAAGCACAATGGCATTACGTTTATATATATTATTTAGAAGAGATCAGGGGTAAGGAGGAATAGCGGACAACCACTTGGACAGTCGGGGATTGAACGCCGACCTGCATGAAGCGAGACCGTCGCTCTACTGTCCACCCCAAGTGAATGGGATGGAAGAGAGAGAGAGAGAGAGAGAGAGAGAGAGAGAGAGAGAGAGAGAGAGAGAGAGAGAGAGAGAGAGAGAGAGAGAGAGAGAGAGAGAGAGAGAGAGAGAGAGAGACAGAGAGAGACAGACAGACACACAGACAGACAGAGAGAGAAAGAGAGACAGAGACAGAGACAGAGAGAGAGAGAGAGTAGATACGTTTCCAGAAGTAGATTAACCCCAGAAAACATACCCAACAGCCTGCAGGAGGTGGGGCCCTGGAGCTACAATTCACTCCTTGTTGCAACAGATGGGTAAACACCCATTGCAACCCCCCCTACCATCCCCCCTTGCAATGTTGATCTATTGCAGGACTTGAATAAAAATTGTATTTGCGAAGTCGGCAAAACATTATTGAATCAGATCTAAAAAGAGATGATTTTCGAGATTTTAAATTGATTTACAGTAAATTATTTAATCGATTATTAAACCCTAATTTTATTTAAAATAACGTAAATTAATCAATTCAATTTAATATATATATATATATATATATATATATATATATATATATATATATATATATATATATATATATATATATATATATATATATATATATATATATTTATATTCTTACTCCATTCCACAACTCACAACATTCCACAACAGACATTATTCCACGGATACAATATGGCCAAAGCCAAAGCCAGCGAGACGTTCGGGACGAGTGAGGCTGACTGTGACCAATGGCTGTGCTATCACTCATCACCTCGCGTCCCAACTTGTCTACTTGGCCACGGCTAGCACACTCTCGCGTGGAATAAAACAAATAATAATGAGAAAATCATTCGGAACCATAAGAAGGATTCGAACCTGTGCAGCGGGGGATGTGCATACTTGCTTACTGCCTCGTAGGGGGCAGTAGCACTCCAGGTTACAATTATTTTGACCATGTTATTGTACAGTTGACCAAAACGCATCTGGGATGTAGACCGTCGCTCTACCGTCCAGCGCAAGTGATAGGGTTATAGAATTGTAGGTGAACGAAACGACAGTGCTTGGTCACGGAACGGAACGTCGCATTTCGCACGTATGCGTTACCTAAGACCCAAAAAATCGTCGTACTACAATATATCAGTGGCGGGCGAAAGTGACATACTGTCCCGTT